AAAATACCCCTCCCCCAATCCGTCACCACCAGCACCTCCACCATCGCCATCAGCCCCCTCACCACCCCCTCCTCCTCACACATCCACAAACACCGCCCCACACCCCGCATCCATCCACTCCCGCCCCAGCCTCACCACAAACACATCCCCGCAGTAGAACATGCTGTCAAAGATGCCGCCCTCGCCCAGCGCCTCGTCAAGCACCGCACGCACAACCGGCATGCGCAGCAGCGTCTTGTTGGCCGGCTTGCCCGCGCCCGTCGAGTAGTAGAGAATGAGCTCGCCGCCAATGTACGGCGGAAGCACGCACCGCTGGATTAGCCGGTCTTGGTAGGTGCCGGGCCAGTAGGGGCGCAGGTCGGCGACGTCGTCGAAGCCCTAGTCGTCGCCCGGGGGGAGGGTGCATGTTTTGGCGGGGGTGTAGGGAAGGCGCTGGACGGGGGAGCCGTCGGCGGGGAGGCGGAGGCAGTGGTAGGTGCGTGGTGGGGGCATGGTGGTTTGGTGGTGGGCGGGGATGGAGGGGGAGGGGGGGGGAGATGGGCATCCCGTGGCGTCAGGCTTGGTGGCGGGACTTCGGATGTGATGCGGGGTGCAGGCAGCAGGGGTAATGGCAGGGGTGGCCGGGTGTAAGCGAGCGTCACGTGGGGGGGTGGGTGGTAATGATAATTTTACCTGAGACCTGCGACTGGACACTGACGAGCGCAGGAAGAATCCATTCCCGCTCGCGAGATTTTTTCAAGCTCAACTTCTCGCTAAGCCTTCTCAGCGCATCATCGCACCACCAGCCGTCCAGACCCCATCTTTGTTTCTATGTTTAGTTTATTAGCTTCGACCCAGAATTTTAAATTGATCACCGAAAAACTCCACAAAATTCTCAGTATGAAGACATCTATATCGTCTTAGGCAAATTTATTAATGAATTATCAACCAATCAATATCCCGCTTTAGGCGCGGCGGAAAAGACCCGCGATTACAAACCCCGGAGCCCTCGGCAAGACCGACCCTGCTATATTGACAATTACAAAACATAAACCTTACTATGACAAGACGAGACGAGACTATGCTCTAATCTCGTCTCGTCTCGTCTTGTGCTGTCCTGTGCCCATCACTAATTATAAGCGGATCTTTGTGTCGATTAGAGAAAAGAATCGACGATAAAGCACCCCCGCAGAAGTTTTTACAGAAACCAGATAACACACACATGCATAGGGGAGGATTCCAGCATACAATACCGAGCCCGCTGCAGCATTCGACCACCCCGCCCCCGAAGAAAACCCCCCCCCCAAAACAAAAACCACCCCCGGAAAAGCCACCCCCTACCTTAAACCCCTTCTCATGTAACCCAACCACATCTTAGTCCACATACTCTCACCCAGAACTCAGCTAGCGGATAAGGCAGCAAGACAACGTGGCCGAGCGGTTAAGGCGTCAGACTGGAATTCTTCATTCTATTCCGTCATCTGATTCCTTCGGGAGCGTAGGTTCAAGTCCTGCCGTTGTCGTTTCTTTTTTTTACTTTTTTTCCATTTCTATATGGAAATCGGAGTAGCAGAATTTTAATTTTTGTGGGTTAGGGTTTGGAGTTGGTTAGGGTTATCACTGGAATAGGGCAGTCGAAGTGCGTAACTGAGCGGGGGAGGAGTGCGGGGATGCCTCTAGCACGTTGAGGTGTCCAGCTACGACTAGAAGGAGTCGTTAATGCGGTAATGGCGGTAATTATAATTTCTTTTCCTGGCGGTATTAGTAGAGAGGGCGGGCGGGCTTCCACTAAATTCAGCACCAAAACTGCGGGCCCTGAGAACATTATCCGCCAGAACCATACGTAAGCAAGCAGTACACGAAGACCTCGCAAGTCGCGGCGAACAGCTTCGGTGAAGATTAAGCCAGGATTTTCCATAGCACACAATACGTTTCCAACAGCGACTACATATATATCTTCGCTATAATGAAAGAAGCAGTGCTAGTAGACCAGATATGTGAGAGAACGGACGGGCACATACTGAAATCGAGGATTGAGCAGGTTAATTCTGCCGGCGGTGATTGTTAGAAAAGCTTTCCGCTGATAAATGCGGTTGATCAGTATGTGATATTTGCTACTTTTTTACTTTTTCTTTTTCTGTTGATTTTTTCTTTTTTTTTTCAGCGCACTTGGCGATATATATGTACAGATATATTAACTAATTTTGTTTCTATACCTCTAATTTGCAGTCATTCGATGAGTATGTACCTGTGTTACCCCTTGTACCTTTTCTCACCCATTCTCTTTTCCGCCCCCCCCCCTTTCATCTTTTGTTTCTTTGCCTTTTATCTCGACGTACCCCCCCCCCGCGCCCCCACTCTCTTGCACTCTATGATGACATGCTCCCGTGGCTAATCGGAGTTGTATGTCAGGGGGGTTCGATTCTTGTAGACGATGAAGTCTGGTTTTCCACCGGCCCTTTTTTGCTCAGCACCTGTTTGGGGAAATGGCCAGTGCTAAGCGATATTTCTGTAGCGTTTAAACTTGTAATATTGTGGACCGGATTCCCTTGACTTTGTTGGCTGATGATGCCTTCAAGTCTACAGAGAATCCTACCCTATTTATGCATGTTGGAACCTATGCCAAGGCCCGCTTTCTCATACTATCTAGTACTACGATGATAGAATAACATAACAGCCCAAAGATAACAAAGATAGAAAAGTGCCCCTGCATAGTCCCATCCTCCATTCTAATTCCGATACGTAACCATGAACCTTGCAATTGACAGTCATCGGGCTGTATCATACTATTGTCCTAGACCTACTTCCCTAAGCAGAACAGCCTGTAGCTGTACGCCCCACTTCTATTCTGTTCTGGGTGAGACACCCAATAGTAAGCATGCTGTCACAATAGCCTATTACAAGTGTGGTAACACCGCGTGCTCCCACACTACCCGATACCTTCTATGCTTGTCCTTCTATTACCCCACCGTTCTCGCATCATGACTCATCACTCATCTGCCTCACTGTCCTTCGATTTAGGACAGTGTTCCGTGATTTCTGTAACAGCACCGTTGTAAGCTTAAGGTTATGTCATTTTCCTACGAACGTTAGAAGTTAGTGTTAAGTAGAGAAGTGTAGGGAGGGTTAAAAGTATAGTATAGTAGAGTGGTTAAAGAATGGGAATAAGATTAGATTATACCTTCGATATAGAGTATAAACTGAATCTATAGAGTAGGGAGATGTCGGGAGTTGAAGGCGATGAACGGTCATCTTCATAACGTCGGCTATCTTCTTTGACTTCTTGCATGATATATAGCGTGTTTTATTGAGCGCAAATCGTGCTGTTCAACAATAGACAAGTTGATGTGGAAGAGGTATAGGTTTAAGAATGGAATAAGATAATACCCCCGATCGATAACAAGAGTATAAAGTGGAGTTGGGAGAAGTCGGAGATTGGATGCGGTGGTGAAGCATGTGGCATCAATTGCCTGCATGCAGCTGGTGGAAGGAATGCGATCGAGCCGGAACATGCCAGAGAATTGAATGCGATAAAACAATGTGGTATCGAGCGGTCTGGTGGGGAGAATGGGGAGTCTTTAGATACCTTTTGGAACAGTCGAAAAACAAGCTTCTCCTTCATGGCTGTTTACTATCATTTCGGTGACATTATTCGCTGAGGGGCCGGGCTGTGCTTATCTTGACCCCATCGGGACTACCTACCGCCCAAACTCGAAAAATTGGCTATCTCCGGCCAGGGATTATCGCTCTAGTGGTTGGTTGAATGGCATCTGCATCAGAAGTTTCTCATATAAGTATGGCGCGAGAAGGCCTAAAGGGCAGGTGTGTCAACTTCAGAGGAATTTCGTTTGTATGGGAATCTGAGAAAATGCCAAGGTTAGTCTAGGCGCTAGTACCATTATGGCCAATTTCTATAAGTTTGATTGGCTGGTTCTTTAAAAAAACGCCGAAGTTTACACACCTACCCCCGATAGCTTCTCGAGCCATAGTTATGGCGGTACCGCTAAATCTCGAGTTATTCGGGGGGTTGCCAAGCTCAGGTGCTAAACTACATTTAGTTTAGATCCTGCAGAAGAGGGCTGTTTTATTGAAGATCTCTGCCTCTAAAGGTGAAGATCCTCAGCTTTTTGCCTTGGCAACCCCCCGAATAACTCGAGATTTAGCGGTATATATGCTTGCCTTACAATCTTAAAGATGACATGTCAGTTTGGTGGATCAGGCTTGGCGGACTAGTGCTGCAACGACGATCAACGACGGGCCGGGCCGACAATGTAGGCTTTTACCCGCACTCACTGCTGAGTCGATATACAACGCCCTATGTGTATCCTGCCAAAACTCAAAAAATTCACTTTCTCCGTCTAGAGATTATCTCACGCACGATTGGCTGGATAGGGTCGTTCATTAACAGATATCGCTGATTGGCATGCAGGGTTAGGGTTGCGATCTCTCGGCCAATCGGATTCCAGGCACTTATTTTTGATGAAATTCTCGATTCCAAACTCGCAGAATAATAGGTAGTAGCGGCCGCCTGACGTACTCATAGTAATTTAGATGAACTAAGCTAGTCAACCATCTATCTTTTGATGGCGGTATTATCTGGTGTATGTGTGGCCTAGTATGAATATCAACCAAGAACGACTTATCTCGTCCGCTAGTATGCCTTGCGTTGAATTAATATTGCGCGTAATAATAATGCCTCATTCCTAATAGTCTTTCTAGAATTTAGAGTTTTGGGACGGGGAGGGGTGCAAGAAATATCTATAGGTTCCTATTAGTTCCGAATGAAAATATATTCGGTCCTCCTGGAAACAAGGGATGAACCACTGAAGCTGACCTGGGTTAATATAGATGGATCATGGCAATGAATGTAGTTGTGCTTTGTTGTATGTGATTCGGAGATTGAATCAACTTTATCCTCAAGGCTCCGCTAACTTCGGCATCAATCCACCCACCAATACAAATTGTAACAAGAATCATCATCACTAAAAGAAGCTATATTATCGTCGTGATCTAACAGATATTTAGTCGGATATCTTCTGGAACGTAAGACATCCATCTGCCCCGGTCAACCATGGGTTCGACAAAGTGCTGATCGCCGTCGGCCTATCCTGCGGACCCCCAGCGAGAAGCCCCTTTACAAATTCGATCGCATCGTCTTGTATATTTGAACTCCTCAGAGTCTGCGTCGGGAAATCCAGCTTGTCCTGGCAGTACTGGATCAACGAGGCCAAATCGGTCCTACGGTTCGGTAGCATATGCGCAACAAGCCCGGAGTACTCCTCTGTCGGGTTGGATGACTCGAGGATGGTAAAGGGTAGCTCTGATGTCAAAAGCTCACAAACCAGTATTCCGAATGGCATATATCTAAGACAAAATCGGGGAACTTTGGTTGATTTAGGCCGCTGGATATAATGCCGATTGTCTCGGGTGCGCTGTATAGTGCGGTTCCACAACGAGTGGTCAAAAAGGTTCCAAGCGCTTGTTTCGATACCCCAAAATCGGTAATTTTGACTAAGATAGGATTAAGGCATGCAACTAGAATATTCTTCGGGCTTGAGTGAGTATATATTACGGAAGTAATACTCTAGAATGGTACGAACACCTACCTGTGGCTTTATATCGCGATGATATATATGCTTACTATACATGACTTCGAGCCCCTCCAAGGTTTGAATCGCTATGCTTTTGGCGCTTGACAGGGACACGCCATGTTGATGAATATAGACCCTTAGATCTCCGCATTCCATGTATGCCATCACCAAAACATGAACATGCGTCCTAGATCCATATACCAACCAAGGAATTGGACGAAAAGATGGTCGTACTGGAGTAGAAAATTTAGCATATGTACGTGGAAACGTGCTGATATGATGAGAATAACCTAAATAAGATCAATTAATGCCTTCAATTCTTGAGACCCTTCCTTCGGTGGTTGTACCGCTTTAACAGCTCGCAAAGTTCCCCTCTCACATTCCCGTTGCAGATAAACACCTCCTGCTGACCCCCGTTCAATCTCCCCTTTCAAGTCCCAAGTTGATTTCCTCCTAAAACCGCTTGACAGCTCTTCTTCGTGTACCACATAACCATTGAAATGTTCCGTGTTCATTCTATAACTTTCAATATCTCCATCTGCGTTTGGGAAAAGTGGCTCCCTCGCGCTTTGTTTCTCAGCGAGGTGGGCAAGAGGATATATATGTAACAACGAATCAAGACCTTCCCCGGACATATCCGGCTCTTCCTACCCTTCCGAAGATTGAATAAAGGGTGACTGTGAGGCTTCTGTTGGGGTGTGAGGCGAGAGAGCGGTTGGTCCGAAGGTGCTGCCTTTGTTCATTGAGTTCAACAAATGCTTCAAGAACTCAAGCTGTATGCGTATGTCACTCATCTCCCGGGTAGGGAGACCAATGGTAACCCTGGCGACTACGTCATTCTATGTAAGAGAAGCACACACTCTGAGGGAGACTCACATGGGTTCGAAAGCACTTCGTAAATTCTTTACGTGTTGGTCAATCCAGTTATTACGTTCCTCATTGAAATTGATTCTGGATCTGAGTGCTCTAAGTCCCTCGGGGTCTCTCTTTAAGGGTGTCAAATACTGTAGCAGGTACTCCGATGCAAACCTAGACGACCCCCCAGAAAGATCATGGTTCATGAACAATTCTTCGATGATCATAAGTTGACGATTGAGCTCCTGAATACGCCGTGGAATCAAGACCCCCGCAGGAGTGTCTGTCTCTACGAGTTGTAGGAGAATTGACTGAATGCCTGACGTATGCTCTCTCAGTAAAGTACTGGTATCCATGGGGGGCGGTGTGTGTGTATCTTAGAACTGGTGGTGTTCGTAATTGCGAAGAGATGATCTACTGATGACGTTGTCCCCTTAAGCTTTCACAAGGATCTTTGTCTTGGTTAGCAAACACTGCAGCCTTGGGTGGCCCATACGCCCCAGGTCCAAGGCGTTATCTTTTAACCACAAGGACAAAAATATTTAGAAACAAGGGAGGTAAGTAGACGGCTACATACTTATCGTATTAATTGGAGAGAAACTATGTATACCGACACTACGAGTGCATGAGTTCTATCATAGTCTCTAGTAGCGCTGGGTAACGAATCAGGTAATGAATCGTTTTTATCACGTAACGGTTGTGTAGGAAATGTGTGCTGGGAAAGTGGCCATCTGGGCCATAGGCTATGTCCCGAAGAAATGAATCCGAGTTACCTGTAGAAAGGCATCCGAGAAATGAATCGATAGTCTCGTTGGACACCTTTCTTGACCAGTTTCTTGACCAGTTTCTTGACACAAAAACCGTCTCATATTGCCAAAAGTGGTAGCCATATGCGGTACTACCTGGTGTCTACAGCGTAAGTAAATGAATCATTTAGATTGGGTGGTTAATGACATCGGGAAATGTCACGTTTTTACTATGTGTTAACGAATCAGTAAATGAATCCCTGAGTTTAATATGCCCCTTTATTTGACACATTAAATAATGATTAAACACATTGCCAAAAAGCAATAACAACGCTGCTGGCAGTGGGGATCGAACTCAAGCAATTAAGTAACACTTGCTACAGTATACCACTTACGCCACATAAGACAGAATAATTAGAGGTTCATGCATAAATAACCGGAACATAGTGGAAATGTGCAAAGAAAATACTACTTTAATGCATTTTGAAAAGTCACTCTGTAAATGCATCACTTGGGGTTGTAAATGAATCACTTGTGTCATTTACCAACGACGTCCTCGGTAAACAAATCAATTGATCCATTACCCTATTCGCTTTGGTAGGTAATGCATCAATTGATTCATTTACATTGCTATTAGAGTGTAAAAAAACGAAAAATAGAGGAACTGAACCTAGGTTATTCTATTCAGCTAACAAAACCTAGAATCTATCACTTGAGCTATGAATAATTATAGTTCCTACCTATCTGTGCTTATATAGACTGAAATCATGCGACTTCATCAGGATTTCACTGAATTTCACCAAGTCCGGATTAATGCATCATAGAAATGCGTTATGCGAATGCATCATGGAAATGCATCAAACGGCCCTGGAAATGCATCCCCCGTCCCATTTCCAACCGATCCCGTTGAGAAACGAATCAAACGATTCGTTTCCCAAATCTTCCTTGCAGGGAAAGGCATCGTTTGATTCATTCCCCGACCTACTAGAGAGTGGAATTAGAAGCCGTCCAGCAAATGCAGCTTCGTAGAACACGCCAAGACATGGACTAAAAACTTGCTTAACCTGATTATTCTGGAAAGCACCACTGACTTTGTTACAGTAATAAGGCCTGAAGAGCTTCGAGTACACGATAGAGATGTATCAACTATTTACAGAAAATATAGGATTCTGGCCGCACCATAACCCTAACCCTGAATGTAGTTCCCAATGTGCTTATGGCGGGCTTCTAGACTGCGTGAAGATAGATTCCCTCCGAGCATGAAGATAATAGGCGGGTCCATCCTTTGGAGATCAGCAACTCAGGTGGTAGTTTGGTTATATGTATCTCCGCCTTACAAGGTTGTTTGTCATTTGTTTATTATGCACTACGTCTATACATGCCCTGTATCCGTATCGAGATTAGTCCTTAGATGCTACAATCCGTAAGCAAAGACCTCCAAAGACCTAGTTCATAGGTAGCAAGAGAGGTAATCTAGGGTGGAGCGCATATTTGAGCACTTTTCGACTTATCTACTTATAGATCATACCACGAAAAGCTTATTTTGTTCAAGCCCCACAACACTCTCGTAATTCTTATCTTTTTATGCGCTGACAGGATATTTACCAGCTGACTATACAACTGCTAAACCGATCTCATCCTCTTCTGTGCTCCTGCAAAAGGAAAGTCCGACGCCAATGCCCCGGTCCCGCATACATGAGGCGTAATATATATTGCTGTTCTTTCCGGTATCGAGGGCACTAAGTCTCCGGGTTATGTGTCGGCTGTTTTCTAGCATTATTTTGTGAGGACTTAGGTTAAGAGTTACAGGACCCAGTACTTCGCGTCTTTGGTACTGGAAAGAATAGCTACTACTAGAGCTCATTGGAGTGCATTAATAATCGCAGGTTCGGTAACAGAATGTATTTAGATCTGGACTGACTGCCGAAGGGATACCTTAGCGAGCTCTGTGGTTGGGACAAGCCCTCCTGCTAGCGTTGGCGTTTGAGAAGAACCTTTGACCACTGTTTTATGGCTCATCACCCAGACTGACCTGGTTGGTTCGGCCGTAAATTCTCGCCTCCTGACAGCTGACGCCCAATCATAGTGCTCGCTACGACTCCACGGTACTCTAGGTGTCGCGCCACGGTTTGGTTATGATTGGAGATGCAAGGATCATTTGTCATACCCGAGTAATTGCTGCCACACCAAGAAACGATCGCCCATACAAATACAAACTCGATTAAAGGGCGCTAGCATTGGTAAACGAAGGGGTAGTCGTGATGCATTTGCAATTGGATCCTGTTGCATCATAGATAGATACTTGTATATATCCATGTATCTGTAACTGCCACTCGCTATCATTAGCGGGATATATCTTCCTGCTTGGAAGCTGATTCCGTTTATTTGCCGGATCAATGTCGATCTCGGGTGGCTTTGATATATCAGCGAGCAATCATAAACTTAAATTTGAATAACACCTTTTCCCGAACGACCCATTGCAGGAAGTAGCAGCAGAACCACATAGACATCTGCGATTTCTTCTTCTCCCGTAAAGACGACTTGGTTGACTTCTATCTTTCTGACGTAGACACCTGAAGCACGAGACACTGGTGGTGACTTGTGAATCCAAAACTAGGGCTTATGAGATACTTGAAGTTAGAAAAAGGCACAGACCTTACAAATGGCAGTGCCTGACAGTATATAAGAATAATAGTAATAGAGACAATCTCTTTCGTGTGAGTGTAGATTTTTCTTTTTTTGACATCTCATTCTCTGACAACCAGGAAAAGGTTTGGGAAGATGACCTCCCAACCCAAACAGAGGTGCGCTGGATGGTAATGAGGCCAATGGGAAAGCTAGCTCGCGATCGACTAGTAGGTTGTTCCGATTTGTGCACTTGTTTTCACCACAAGGAACCTGCAAACATTCAAAAAATGACTAGTCAGCCTTAAAACAAAAGCAACTAGTAGCCGGCCTGGCCATGTCCTCTCTTGCCAGGTGTGGTATTGCGTAGAATGGGGGTTTGGTATGGCGGATTGCAAACATTACAACCATTTTTTCCAGGGTATTAGTTAGCCCGGCATAGCATCTTCATCTGACTGTTGGGAAAGGCAGATATACGGAGGATCTCGTAGGGGACAATATTGCTGTAGGAGATCTGGGTATTATTATGGCCCAATACCGTCTAAAGTCGCAAGGTTGGCTATCTGCCTACATGTCCAGGGATTACCACATGAGTGATTGGCTCACCGGTATCGATCCGCACCCTCCCATGCAAGTAATTTAGATCTAGCCACTTTTCCCAGGTATGGAGGTATACCTATGTGGATATACTTTGACTATACCCGAGACAGGGTCGAAAGCTTATTAGATTATTGATGCAACCTTTATTCCTGATCTGTTTTGGCGCCAGTTAACGCCGAGCACGCGCACAGATGTACTGACCACGACTCCCGGTGATGATTATCTGTCCCGAGTATCTGCTCTCTACCATCATTCATGGATGCATCAAAATCCTTGAGGCGCCTTTAACCTATCTAATTTGAAAATGTACAGGCGAATCGACACGTGCTACATAGGTATGGCCACTTTGAAAAAGAAAAAAAAAAGGCGTGCTATCAATCGATCATACAAATCAGATTACAATATACTTCACCACACATAAATGATAGAGAAGTCTCGGAATACTGAGTACAAGTCGGTTTATTTAGGTGCAGGATCAACCTTTATGGAATTGGACATTGGGCAGCTTTATTCGGCGGAAGAGTCTCTCGACTGCGCAGCCGCGGCGATCCCAGACTATGAGCTAATCAGGGAAACATGTGGTAGAAAACAAATCAAGAAAAGGACCATTCATTCCAATGACTGGTTATTATGCCATCCCCTCGAGATTGAATATAGAGGTAAGGGTTCAGTGTTGTCGGAGGTGGTGAACTTATATCTCTTCAGGGTTGTCAAATTCTCCCACCCAAAGCGAATTCGAAACCCATAGCCTACCTAGAGAGCTAGAGCTCTCCCAGCCCATCTGAACGCATGACGGAGTTATAGATTTTAACAATAACTCTCAAAATCCTTTTACCTCTATTTTAACGAAAGGAAGTGGCGTCCCCACAACCCCCCTCCTATATTTACTGTTACTTGATCGACCCACTCTTCTCTCGGCGCGGTGTGAATATAACATACCCACTAGCCTAGAGGTCAAACGTACCTGAAAATATCGATGGACTACACGAATTCCACCCAGGGGGTACCCTTCGATCGTGAAAGCAGGGTTTGTCGGCATTCAGATTGGATGGATGTATTCACATTCCTCGCTCTCGACTTCGGACTTCGCACGGTCACCGTCCTTACCCCTCCCGGAAGTACTGGACTTCAAAGCGCTCTTATCTGCCTCTGGTCTCTTATTAGTCCCGCCTATGGTGTTAGGAGGGCGCTTCTTGCAATCGGGTTCCCGGAAACCGAAATGGGAGACAGTGAGCTTGAGGAGTCCCTCAAAAAGGCGTGGCTGCGTCTTACAGCAAGGTTTACGGGCGGAAAACGAAGCGAACTGGAGATGGCCCTCAGGTCCGGGACCCTGTGCATGCTAGTGCCTTCCTCGGTCAGAATCGGATCATCCCTAAAACCCGAATCCGCTTTCCCGGTCAGCCGCAAAACAACCCCAAAGTCTTTATCCAACCCGAAAACAAGTCAACTGGAGGCGTTACCTCTAGAGCCAATAAATACTCTTATGACGAGTGTCCACGGTCAGTATCCGTCCGATATCAGGCCCCTATACGGCCCTTGGAATCAGCCAGTAGACGATGAGGCCGGCGAAGAATTCGCATCTCCAGCGGAATACTCGTTGGTGAAAGTACCATCAAGTTTTAGTGTGTTCTCCATTATAGCCGAGGGTGAGCCAGAATCACTCACGCAGGCGATACGGCAGTGGGTGAGCAACAAAGGATCTCCGAGTGCGGGGGTGCCCGGTGATTCCCAAAAGGCGGTTCCTTTACGGCTTTCATCCAACGAGAGGGTGGTAAAAGCTATTTGCACCATCTTTCAGATTCTTTACGGTTCTTATGAGATCTATAGGATGGGCGGAGACCATCTCAGAAAATACGGATACGCTGCTTACGAATTTACAATCATACCATACCTCACCATGTCGTTGATGAACCTACTTGTGAGTTGCGTCAGGCCTACCTACCCCTCAATGTACATAGTTCACTATCGAGGTAAAGTACCACCTGGGACTATGACAAAGGAAGGAAAGAAACCTACAGACACGGGTCTTAGCTATACGTCATTATATGACAACCAACGGATGACAATAGATGCGGATCAAGTCAAACCCGTATTGAGTCCATCAAAGGCAGTACCAGTCGACATGACTGAGGATAGAAATGGAAATCAAAATTCGGATTACCCCAAGTACTGGTGGAGCCCAAGCGACTGTCTCGAGCTCGAACGCAACGTCAGCGGCGCGATTGGGTACGTGTATGGAGATTTCACAAGGAAGAAAGATTTGAGAGAGATCAAGCGTCATCATTTTTTTGATATTCACACATGGAAGAACCGATTCTTAGAGAATGTAAGCCTTCCTCACCCCTCCCTCTTCATTGCTCAATAGCTAACCCTCAACCCTAGCCTATCTTTACTCCATTTGTTTTGACCATTTACATATTATTATACTATACAGCACCATACATTCTTATTCAGATTTTAACCGGCTTTGATCGAGGCAACAGCACACCGCTTCAGCGAGGTTTTATCATTATGTGGATAGCCAGCGGGTAAATCTGTCCAGACTTGATCGAGCTAGTTGCTTGCTTCCTACCCGACAAATCAGGGCCGCGAAAGAGTGACAGCATATATCCAAAAGTAAGGATGATCATTCTTGGCATTCTTCACTTAACCCTTATTGGCTTTCCCACCTGTGCGGGAGTTTACATGGTGGCAAGCATGATATTAGAGGGCAATACATGCACTTCACTATGATTCCATTTATGGAACGTCATGTAGTAACAGACTATTCTTTTGTACTTCTTTCCTTTCTTCTTCTTTCTGTTTTGTTTTAGATTATGACGTGGATTTTGAGAGTACTTCACAATCTTTTGTATCTCCTTTGTAACTCTAGCCACAAAGTGAATTCGCAATGATTTCAGGTTACGGTTAATGGATAACCTACCTTGTATTGAATCTATTTGAGTTTTCTTCATATTATCTCTTAGGTTGTCACTCCGAATCGAAATTGTGACATGGCTGGGTGTGCTCCTTGAATGTAGTCACTGTCAATTCTCTCCCTATCTCTAATGGAACAGGTGGGGCTTTCTAGCGTGAGAAGAAACTCGAGGACAGAATAAACAGGAACTGCGTTTATCAGAGTATAGCTACCATATCTTTTCCGGCCATGACCCGGACCTGGACTGACCGCCCAAGGGATATCATTGAGAGTAATATATTATGATGATTGGTATCAGGGTTAGGGTTATTTATCTGAATTCCGCGGGTCGGATTCTGTTTTTGCTCAATTCATTAATTGTCCGCAGGTGAGAAACATTAGACATCAATTTGAGTTTGGCTTATATCTTCTTAGCTATGGGTATGGAGAAAACGGCAAACATCAATAAAACGAGAACTGTTCTGAACTCAAGTAGCTCCTGATGATATATCAATGCCTCAAATCTCTTATTGTACGCGTCTCCCTAGCTAGTCTCACCTGTAACTAAATATATATAGAAGGCAGGAACGAAATGTCCCGCTTTTGAAGAGGCAAAAAGGCTGGGTATACATTGAATATTACCGCCCATATTGGATCCGGAGTGGGAGCAGCTCATTAAATGAGGCTTCCCACAGCTTCTCCACTTCTCAATTCATACACCTTGTCAGTCCCATACAGTGAAAATATCCCTATGAGGTGGCGTACGCGTATTTACACGATTTTCTTATCCTCCTTGAAGTGACAGTGAAAGATGACTTGGACGGGAGATCAATAGTGATCAGTAAAGACTTGGCGCCGTACGTGAGTGTAGAAGAAAAGCGCACAGCCCAAATCGGAAATGCCTGCCCGGGCTTGATGATTGGGGGGCAGCTTAGTTAGTAGGGAGTAGGATATGTGAATTTGGGACAGCATACTCGGAGGCGCAGGATAATCTGTGGAGCAGCTATTCCCGAATCTTGTAGTAATAGATAAAAACCCTAACCCAACCAGACCTTCGAACGTACTGGATTCCGAAACCATCACGTGCGGCACTATCGAGCACAGTTTATCACTCGTGCCAAGCGATCCGCGAGGTACCAAATTATTGTCCGCGTGGCACACACCTGAACGTGATGGTTTCGTGCTTTCAAGTTTGGTCTATTGCCCAGGTATAGCATATACATACTCCGTCTAGCACTCAACATAAATGGTCCCTTGCTGAGGCGACCTTACCCCACACCCGTCCCCTGATAAATTGCTACAAGTCTCATAATCAAGGTAGACTCGAGCTCTGATTCCTTCTAAATATCTCCGCCATAACGCGATCTTTCGCTACTCCTAAAAGTAAGACATACCCACCCCCGCGTCCGCCTTCTCCCGCTGCCATTTCGCATTTTTAATCTCCATATATACCCCTCTTTCTAGACACCCGGGAACTCGATACCCTTCCGCCAACCCCGCAGTCGCGGGTCCCTCGCACAACCGAATATAAACACACACCTCCAACCTGAGATTTCCAGCCATATATCGAACTCGGACGCTCCCCAATTCCTCCAGTAGTGCAAATAACCGAGATTTACGCTAAATATTACGCGCGAGTTGACCACAACGAACGAAAGTATTGATTAGTTGGTTAGGACCGACCGGCCGGCCCGGCACATCTAGATCTAGGGGTGGCATTTAATCGTAAGCATTATTGTAGCCGTGATCAAACCAGCTTTATAGCAGCTTGATGGGTTATATGGGCTGATTCTTTAATTTCTCGGGTTATTGGGTTGCTAGGGACGAGACCGGAGGTCTCGTAGGCTTGAACTAGGTGAAAGGTGGCTAGTCGGTGGTGGGGGTTATAAGGTGGCCTTGGCAACTGTGTCCACAGTCTATCATAACTATACGTGTCACGAATATATGTATAAGGAGACAGACTGTCTCCTTCCTTCGTAATAGATAAACCATGCATAGTATCCATACAGAGGTGGTCGGATGTGTCAATATCGCCATGGTATACGGCGGTAGGGACTGGATAGAGTGAGTAGATTCTGAATAGGGTAGAACGGGCGGGTTGATGAAACCCGGGGGGAGGGTCGGCAGGTTGTGGTTGTTCTGGACTGTCGGGGGTGCAGTTAGCGAGTGGGAGCTGGCATGAGGATAAGAGGATACGGACCCGTGTTACAAGTTATCTCAATTCGCTATATCCTTGTCTTCTAAATTTATGCGACCGAACCTCGCGCCCAACGTAATTCCGTTCTAAATATGTGGTCACAACCTATCACTCGCTCGGCCACGAGTCCAAAGCTAAGCTACTAGTAGGCTTAGTCGTGCCAAGCCCTCCATGCGAAGCCCGGACCATCTGGTGGGTGCGGTCACAAACCGTCACCCACACACCCGCAGTTCTTACCAATCGGTGGATCAAGCAAATTGATTTGACAGATGCCAAACCACATACTATAGCCTTTGAGCTGGGTCGATATAGAGTACTAGAGCCGGTTCCGGTAGTAGTTACGGTTGGATCACTGATTTCCTTTGCGCATGTGGGTCCAACCCATGAATCCCGGGATACAAAAGACACCCTCAAGTAGTACCATATTAACAAAATAAGTAATTTTTACATGCGCGATGGGTAGAACTTTCTATGCTCTTTAAAGAGTCCAAGAATGTATCTCTTGACGGGGATGATTTATCTCAATAACAGCGAAATCTCCTGCTTGAGTCTTGATTGACATGTGATATTTGTAGGGCTAGCGTGGAAGGTATTTAGAGGCAAGTATGTAGCACGTAGCGAGGCTCTGCCACTAGGATAAGTATACCAAAGAGCCTCAGCTACATGTGTATGGGGGAAATACACAGTCCGCTGGTATTCTGTAGCTCGATACCTACATGTTACCAAGAGATGGCGTTATAGGTCTACACTGGCTATGAGATCAAGTTCGAGAATATGACCTCCGTGCTGGGTCTGCCGTTTGCTATCGCTATCGGGTACGAAGTCTTGGCGGTCTTGGCAATCTGGCATATAGAGTTACCGTTGGATTTGACTCCTTTCGTTTAATGAACTGAAGAGACAGTCCTGGCGTGAGGGTATCATCAGGGAAATGTCCTCCAACAAAGGAAGTGTTGTAGGTACAGCAAGAAACACCCCTAAATGATTTATGCATATACCTACACGAAATAGACCCTAGAAACAGGGTTTAATTATGAATATTGCTGGCTCAATTGGCCAATACCGTTAATTCTCGAGAAACCCAATATATATCCCCGCTTCGTTAAATCTTAATTCCGGGTGAGAAAAAGTGTGGAACTGTACGAATTCGTGAAGTCTGATACGCCAATTCGTCTTGGTTTGGACCTACCACATACAAATACGGGGATAGTAGATTATTCGACAATTAACGGTAGGTCTGCTTCCAAGCCTCACTAATCGTACCACATACTTTCTATAGGCCTCAGAAATATTAAAGTACCCAATCCAGCCCCGAAACGTTAGAAAACTACGAGTACTCAGTGATTCTGCATGATTATCGGCCAATAAATAGGGAGGTCGACCAAGATCACCTATTTCCACTTCAGATACACATGTACACAGACTCGAGGGAAAGGAATGGTGGGGCAGGGCAGCTCAAATGAGAGGCGCGCGCACCCCCACGATGCTTTGCAGCTTGCATGTAGCTTTTTATAGCTGCCAATATGCTAATAGAGGCGAGTGGGCTTATCGGAGCCAAACACAGAAGCACATGTGTCAGATAGGAGTAATATTTGACTTCCAAGAGGAATTCTGTTAAAGTTGGTTATTTTCCTAATGTATCGCTCCTCCTCCGGCCAAAACGACACCTTGGGCCTCATACATAGCCAGGCGTCAGCGACTATATACCTTTTACTCCTGCTCGTGTCGGAAACTCAAATATAGCGACGGGATCGATTCTCCGAAATTCTTTTTTCTTTTATTCATTAATTGCATGCAAATTCTCCGAAATCGGTCAAATTATAAGCTCTCCCATCGCCCTCCGGCCCCTACATTTCACTCGCTCTCTCCTGCCTCGGAATATCGGAAAATAGATCAGGTGCCCTGAACGGAAGTCACCACGGATAAGAAACTTTAAAGAGAGTCTCGATTGCGGTTTATGAATTCAACCGAACAAACCTTTGAGCGTGGAGCAAACTTTGTTGGGCGGCGGATTGGATTGATGTTGTTAAGTTCCTCGCTTTCAGCTATGGATTTCAAGTGGTCACCGTTATCACCCGTCCCGGAAGTAATATGTTTCTAAGTCTCAAATCGTCCGGTTTTTCTCTCATGTGGCCACTATACGGGATGAGTCAGGCCCTTTTCATGATGGGAGGTATTGGTTTAAAACAAAATGAGCTTGAGTTGTCGCTGTCATCAGGGGCGCTATGCATGCTAGTCCCTTCTTCATTCAATATTACAGATTCTAAATCAACACACCGAGTCCTCGAAAGACCTATGCGCAGGGTCAATCCCTCCTGGGTCAATATTCACGGTCAGTATCCGTCAAACACCATAGTGCCAAAATGGACCGCTATCGAGTCTACTATTAAGTATATAGACCAAGAGCGTGATTCCAGACATCCATCACCTTATCAGTATTCCTTGGTGACGGTTCCACGGGACTTTCGGGTGCGCGCCATCCTAGAGTACACGAAGCCAAAATCATTTCTTACACAAGTTTTGGACAAATTATGCAAACGTCCACGTGAAGCGGGGATTGCTGCTTTATACCTTTCCTGCGGTTACAGCATCATTAAAGCTCTCGCTGCTATTGTTCAGATTCTCTACGGTTCATACGAGCTCTACAAACTCAGTGATGACCAGATCAAACGACGCGGATACGCTGCATATCAATTTACAGTCATCCCCTACGTCTGCATGTCGTTGACCAACTTGATCGTGAGTTGTATCAAGCCAAGTTACCCCTCAGTCTACATTGTCCACTATCGAGGAATTGTCGATCCAAGAATGATAGACAGGAGAAAGAAACGCGAGGCTGATTTTTCCAACCGTCTATCAACACAGAAGCCTCAGGGTGTGCGCCCAGCTGTAGCTGTGGCTGTGGATCCACTTGGTATATCGCAGATAGTTTAACCTAAGGAGTGCTATCCGGAGGGCTGGTGGCGTGAGGGGGATAGACTTGTAGTAGATAGTCAGGTTAGTGCTGTGGTCGGATACGCCTATGGAGATTGGAGAATGCCAGTGGTGAGGCACACCATAAGGAAAGAGATAGCCGCCAAAAACGACAACAGGTAGGCCTTTCGTAGCTTATCTGCCAACTAGTGCAAAAGCTAAGTTTTGATACTAGTATATCTGTACTGGATTTCTCTTAATCCTACTCACACTTTCTTTTCTTATACTACCATACGCTATCATCAAACACTTCACAAACTGGGAACGGGGCAGCAGTACGCCACTTCAACGATGGATTTTTATGCTTTGGATCGTTGGCGGGCAATTTTTTCTGTGGTTTGTGACCTTCGCTGAGTACTTTCTGCGGGATAGGCCTACATCAGACTTAATCCTCGGGTCATACCCAGTGTTAAGAGGAATGATGTATAGTGCTGTAGTATTGATCTTCATATTTCCCGCCTGTGCCGGGTTCTACATAGTTTCAAAGATGATACTAGAAGATCATATATGCGTCAGGCTCTGACTATATTATATTATACGATTCTTATCCTTTAAGATATGTTCCTTTCCTAATATATTATGTCTTATCGATCGGATTTCTCCTGAGAGGAAGTCTCGTGGTGCTAGTTTGAGATATCACAATCCTTTGTATCTCCTTTATTAGTTTATTCTACAATCTCAGATGTAACTAGTAACAACCTCGATCCAAAAATATATTAAATGCACATGACACGTCGGATATGAATATATCAATACTGAATCACTCGAAAATGAGTACCTATAGCCACTGTGCAAAAGTGCCCGTGATTCCAATTTCGGAGTGAGTCATTTCTCCATAGTGTGCTCCACGAGGCTGCCCGAGACGAGCAGAGACAGATGGCTTGAGGTGCCTCTGCCTCGTGTAGTCCATGCCTTTGCTTGCTCGTGAAAAATAGGTGATGCCTCGAGGTGCTCGAGCTAACTCGAGGCAGATAATTACTATATTTAATTTTGTCAAAGTGATATTTTGTTGCAATATTGGAATAAAAATGTAGGGAATACGTCAGAAACATCAAATTCAATTAGCTATATGCAGCCGCTCATATGTACATGTGGGGAAATGAATCGGGAAATGAATCTTCAGTTCCATATATAAATTTGTTACTTGAACAAAAGACATAAAAATAGGTTACCATAACCCCGGAACTTATATATACATGTAGAGTACAGATTAGGTTGCTGTGAGAAAACACGATGAGATGTTCGTTGTGAGGAACTTGGGGGGGGTACTGGATGCGTTCTATGCTCATTCCTCAATTCCACATATACTCCACTATTCTACTACCCGGAGTCTGACCCCATGCCATATACTACGATTTAATTCCGCGAAGACCATAGCCCCGCCCGATCGACAACTTCTGATTGTTGACGAAGTCATGGAATATCACTCGCGCGCCAAGACCTCATCTCTGATAAAGACGGTTGAGGATTAATTCTCTGTATTCGACGGGAACTAGAAAAAGGTCTTCCACAGTGACGTATAGAAGCTTCGAGGAATATCACCGATTGTCCAGCCCTAGGCTACGTAGAGATTTACTAGCTCGGCCCAGTCCGTCCAGTCCATCCTGCAGTCTCCCATGCGGTTCAAAAAAAAAGAGAAAAAAGCAGAAAAAGTTCAAAACTGGTGAGAGCTGCCACCTTACCCGGAGGTTTATTCACTTGCTCGCATGTCACTTAGCCCGGTAGAACTCTCGGGGTCATAACCGAAAAAAAAAAGATTTTGGTTTTTGGCGGGGTTTCTGGCTGAGTGTATGATAGGGGGCCGGGAAGATATTTTAATTTTTATGTACAAACTATTTTTATACCTAACTACTACCTGCCATCCTTTTCATATTAAACTCTTTTTGTATCTTATGCAGACTCCGTCAGTCCATCAGTCGACTGACACTTTGGACGGACTGCCAAGCCTTTTCATGCAGTCTATATGCAGTCCAGTCGGTCAGTCCATAGACTAGCTTAGTATTTTAGACTGCACTCGACTCCAGTCAGACTAGATGGTTGGCGGTGTTGAAATTTATTATTATTATTCTGATTCTGATTTTTATTTGGAATGGGCAATTTTGTATAGTGGGTTAGGGTTTCAATACCTCCTTATGGCGAAAGTCATGGCTTATCACTCAACCCCATGAGCTATCTACATTTAGGTAAATATTTGCTACAACTTCAACTTCAAGCACTGAACCCAACCCAACCAGGCTCACTCATTTTGCGAGGTTGGGATTTGCTGGAGACATGCGTTACGAGACTCCCGGGAAGGTTAACGAGTTCGAGGAGAGTAGTAACTAGCTATAGCGCTGTCTTCTTATGCAAGCTAATGATCCATATCTTTGTCACACCTCTCGGCATTCTCTCAGCCTCAATGCTCCGCAGAAATTCAATATAGACTCTTGTCACTCTCGAATGAAGAAAGCTCAGGCTGGATACAGCTCTGAATGATTGTGATAGAGCGTAAAGGACATAAGCGGAGGAGATCTAGCATATATGTTGAGGTCACCGTAAGCTGTGGCCTGTCCTCTGTCGCAACCTCTGCTGTGTCCATTCGTCACAACTATACATGTCCACTAGAGCGCCCGCACCACTGCAAACAACTGTTACAGGTACATGTATTCATTATAGCAGTTAGCAACACTGTGTTCATCGCTAGAGAGAACACACAGTACTGTACAAGAAGAACAGTTATACAAGAGCAGCCGGTATATCTTCACGGTGAGGGTACTCTTCCCCCCACCAACCAAGCCACCCACCGCGACCCCCACCCCCGTCCCGTGACGCCAAATCCAGCACAGGCCAACTTAGTCGTCCATTGGCGTCGGACAAGTCTTCGTTACTCATCACAATGCGGAGGTCTCAGTACGGAGACAGATCGAATCTAAGATCTCGTCCGGGACATCCCCGGAACTGATGCACCCCCACACTACAGGCCAGACCAATTCAGTGAACTCACAGTGTTGTGTGAAAACACTGTGGACCAAGGTATCCCGCACGTGGGGACCCTCGCAGACCCAGAGGAGGTACAAGCTAAGCGCTCCCAACCCCGCGCCCAACCATGCACCACCATCCCACCTCCAGACACAAGACATCACTCGCAATGCCAAGCCATCTCCAGATCACAAGACAACGCGACGCTCGTTGGCTGCATATCAAGTGACCACCCGAATACGAGATTAGTCACAACGCGCCGTGTGTCTCACCCTCCGGCCACTTGGAAGTGAAGCGAGATCCGCGACGCACACCGATTTCCGATCGACAACTAATTCCCGTGTGTCGACTCTTCTCTCAGGCCCACCAATTGCCCTCTTTCCCAGGCCCACCATTTCCTCCCCCATACGCATAAAACAGAGCTGATCTGAGACACCCCCGCAATTCCCAGGCGGCACATGTGCAGGAACGCAGCCCAGCCCCAGCCCCAGCCCATGTTCTTTTCTTTTCTTTTTCCTGCACAGCGAGCTGCTAGCTTCGCACCCACAGAGCGGAGAAAAAAATATATATATCCCCCATTATAGGACCTTGAATAAAAGCTCGATCCTCCCCCCCCCCCGCTTCCCATTGCCCGCCCCCTCCTTGTTTTCTACCATTCTCGCCAGCTTTTAGGTAGAAAATAATCTCTATCCACAATGACCACCACCACCCCACCCACAACACCCCTCAAGAAAGGCCTGCGTGAGGAAGTCATTACACCCCCGCCGTACTCCACCGCTGCCGGTACTTTCCCTCTTCCCCTCTTCCCCCCTTTCTACGTCATTGCTCCAAGTAAGACAAAACAAACTAACCTCCCCCCCCTCTCTCTCTAGGGCGCACACACACCACCAACGGCCTCCTCGAGCTCGCCCCCTTCCACACGCTCACCTCGTCGCAGCTCACGCAATTCGACGACGAGCTACTCGGGCACACGCGGCGGTGGCTGTCGGTGCCCCAGCAGCCGGCGACCAAGACGATGCCGGAGGAGCTGTGCGACTGGCTGCGCGGGTGGGGGTTCTTTGTGGCGCTCGATACCATGGAGTATCGGCGCCGCGCGCTGGACGGAGGGAGGCCGCTGGCGGAGAGGGCGGCGTGGATGAGGGCGAGTTGTGTGTTAGGCGCGGCTGGGGGTAAGGGGGAGGCGGAGTGGTGGGGGGTGGTGGGGGAGGTGTTGGAGGTGAGGGGGTTGGAGGGGGTGGTGTAGGTGTCGTGTGCAGTACGGTATGGGGGTGGTGGTGGGAGTGGGAGTGGTAAAAAAAAAATGCAGTTGATCTGTGAAAAAGGGCGGGTTGTAAAAGAAAATGTAAACAATAGTTAAAGCGTAGCGCTTTAAATTTCCTATAATACTAGTCATATTATCATGAGTTTTCTCCTAACGCCTGACGCAAGTTGCAATGGCTATATCTGCGCTGCCAATTAATTGCAAGTGCTCTGTCTTTAATCTACACGTAACTCTACCAGCGGGGATAAAGAAACGTACTGCTCTACTATCCATTACCGATATCAAAGTAACGTGCAATTGCGCCGCCGGACCAATCTACTACGCGTAACTCTCCAAAAGGTCACATCCGTTATTTCACGAACGTTTTGTTCGTGGCCTCACTAAAATCTCCACTAGTGATACTCTACCCCCGACACATTTTCTGAAACATATACATACTCCTGCTTGGCAGCAACATATTAGCTGTTTCTTTACAACACGGTAGTCCCAGCGCAGCGCCATCTATAGCAGCTTGGTCTACTGATCCCTAGCTCCTAAGGATAATTCTCCCAACAGCGCCCCCGAGGACAGGGTGGGTCTCTTCTGCCCTGCCGCGAATGACGGTCCTCTATATTCTACTTGGTTGATAAATCCTCCTCGAGCTCTGGACGTGTTGATGACCTTCTCCAAAATCTTTAAATGCTCCCCGGCCGTCGAGCTTCGATCGGTATAGTTTTGCTTTAGTAGCTACCAGCGCTACGTGTAAGATCTACCAAGCTTCCTACCGGCGGTCTTCAGTACGTGCCATGATTGTAGTTACCGCCGACGATTCTCCGGTAGCTAATGTATCAAACCTGCCTATTGAGAGTGGGAAAAATCTGGGGTAATAAAAAAAAATGGAAAAATGGAGGAAAAAAATGAATTGAAATTTCTTATATCATACTATTCAACAAAAAACACTCACACAACTAGTACTACCAACCCACCAACCCACCGCTCATGACCCCGCCTCCTAAAGTACCACCAAAGACTCGATCTGCTTGGGTTATATTTCAACCCTGCCACAGATCCTGGCAAAATAATAATACTTGTATCCTTAAATATATGTAAGGCTTGAGTAACGCAATTAATGAATTAAACAAAGAAAAAAGGTTTGAGTAACAAACCCTAACCCTGCGTACCTGTGTATCTTCCCGTAAAAAAAAGGAATGGGCGAGAGTGACTTTGGCAGTCGATATCTACGAGTGTTGAAAGGATGGACGCTGTGCATGCGGCAAAGTGCGGGGCAAGAGCAGGTCGAGTAGGTGTTGTCTTGATCCGATTCGTGGCCTCGGGCAGGCCGCTTGTTGAGTGAGCTGCGCGCGCGGGAGGAGGAGGATCTGTTCGTTACTCCGACATTGTTAGATATTGCAATTGGCGATCATCCAACGAGAGTAAGGCTTACAACGTGTTGGAAGAAGTGGCAGATATCTGGACTCTCCTCCGCCAGGAAATGAATTAAACAAAAAAAAGAGAGAAAAAAACTATTCCGCCAGGAGTGTGAAGAGGGTGGGTCGAGTGACATATTAAGATTCCGGATAGATAAGCGCCCAGCCAGGAGGGTAGTACTTACGAGGTCTGGGGACGGCGGGAATGATAAGACGTGGGCACCGTGGTGGGGGTATAGCCACCTATGACTGGAAAGCATGAGTGTGCGTGGAAATGCAGCGCCTTTGGCTGGGACGTTTCTGTCGGTTTGATGGGTCCTTTGGATTTCTCTGCGTATACAGTTCAATGCCTCAAGCGACAAAGCACCGCCCAGCGGGCGTGGTATTACAGTCTCTAGAAAGCTAGTCTGGTTGGTCAATGGGTTGTTTCCGAGGAGCTGATCAGCGTGACTGTTCTCTGCGGTCATGCCCGTAATAAACCGGCACCCCGAGCTTTTTTGTCTGTTGTGTCCAACTCATTCGTCACCCTACTCTTGACAGGCTCAAGAAGAGTATCCAGAAATGGCGATATATACCTCCCATGAAGCTGGTTGATCTCGATGCCCTTCAATACGCACGACGGAGGACAAATCAGAGACAAACAAACTATTGTATAGCTAGTCCTCATCTAGACCAGCGCGAGACAGCCAAGAGATCTCGTAGTGGTGGAAAATCGATTCAGCAACATCCATACAAAGGGAAGCCCCTGGGGCCAACTACTTCCACGCAGCAAGGCCAGAACTCGATCAAACCCCGGATGGCAACAGTCGAATTCGAGTGATACCTCATGACTGCACGCGATTTCCGACTAGCACGTGATGAATACACATGATCTCTGTAAACTTCGCGTACAACTTGAAGTTTGGTGTATGGGAGAGAATGATTTAAGTGTGGTTTGAACACGTGACCTTGACGGAGGATGTGTTTTGTAGTGCGAAGAAGATACTATTGCGCCGCTAAAGTTCCAGCGACAATGTGGGTGTTTGAGCGCTCTATATATACAGATATTCTAATACCACGTGATCCCCTGATTACATAATCCCTGACACTAAGCCTTGTCTGAATCCCTGTTCCTTCTATGAGTCATCCCTTATACATGAGTAATTCCATACATAACCGATGTCGCAATGCCCTATTTCTACACTTCCCCCTCACTTGCCAACATCGTATCAATTCTGACAATTTTTTGGTGAGCTGGTTTCGGTAGTCCTTTGGTCATTATGTCTGCAACATTGTTTTTCGGTTGGGACATAGAGGAGTTTGAAGGTTTCGGCTTCGAGTTGTTCACGTGTGTAGTGATAGTGAACGTCGATGTGTTTGGACCCGGTCGTGGATACGTGGGTTCCGACAGAGTTCGATAGACCCTGTGTTGTCGGCGTGGATGTTGTATTGGTATTGTTTGTTGGAGTTCGCATAAGGCGTTGCGAATCCATACCAGTTGTCGAGCTGTTAGGGACAGAGCCATATATTCGGCTTCTGTTGTTGAGACGGCGACTGATTTCTGCTTCCGGCTTCTCCAGCTTATGGCTGATTTTTCCTAGTCTGAACACGTATCCTGAGAACGATTTTCTGTCATCTAGGTCTGAAGCGTAGGAACTGTCTGAGAAACCATCGAGTGTTCTAGTGTTTTCCTTTTGGGTAGAACAGGTTCCAGTCCTTGGTTCCGTTGAGGTATCGGAGAGTTCGTTTGGCTGCTCGTAGGTGGTCCTCAGTTGGGCATGAGGAGTACTGAGAGAGGGCGGTAACGGTATGGGTGATATTCAGGTCTGGTTGCTATGCTGGCGTACATGAGTGATCCAATTATGGAATTGATACTCAGTTGGTTTCTCGATTTGATCTTCTGGTTCTCCTTTACGAAGACTCAGATTTGGTTCGAGTGGTGTTCCAACTGGTTTGCAGTTATTCATTCCAAATTTGTCTAGGATTTTGTTGATGTATGCTAGTTGTGACAACGTGATACCGTTCTTTGTTACCGTTATTTCTATTCCCAGTAGGAATTTCGCATTACCGAGATCCGTACATTCGAAATCTGCCTTAAGTAGTTGTCTGATTTTGTTTCTGAATGGGGAGTCGGGTCCGAATATCATGATGTCGTCAACATACACCGATATGTATAGTTGGTGTTTCTTATGTATGAAGACACATGGGTCGAATTTGGCTGGGATAAATCCTTTCCGTTGAAGGGAGTCTGCTAGGCAAGCGTACCATTCACGGGGTGATTGTTTTAGTCCATATATGCATTTTCGAAGTTTACAAACCTTGTAGTCCTGCCTGTAGCCTTCAGGTAGTTCCATGTAGATTTCCTCCTTAAGTATACCATATAGGAAGGCTGACTTGACGTCCATTTGTTGTGGTATCCAACCGTTGTGTGCGGCTAGTGCAGGTAGGAGTCTTAGGGAATCGTATCGGGCAACGGGGGCGAAGGTTTCATCGTAGTCTTGATACTGTACTTGGGTGAAGCCTTTGGCGACGTATCTAGCTTTGTATCTTTCGATTGTTCCGTCCGCGTTGTGTTTTACCTTAAATACCCATTTTCCTCTGACTACTGCTCGGTTGGTTGGTCTGTCGACAATGTCCCAGGTGTGGGCCTTGTCGAGGGCGTCTTTCTCTGTCTGTATTGCCTTCTTCCATAGGTGTTGATCATCGCTTTTCATTGCTTGATTGAAGGTGGTAGGTTCAGTTACTAGGTGTACCCGATGTATGGTGGAATCCAGGTTGTCGTACTGGCTTTGGAGCTTTGCTTTGTCCTTTTTGTGGTCTAGACTGGCTGCTTCCATTGCTAGTTGCTTGGTTTGTTCGTCCATATCTTCATCGGCTAGTATCTCTGATACCTCCTTGTCATAGGTGGTTCCTAATTCCGATATTTTCAGTCGGATTTCCTTCCTTTTCCCTTCGATATCAAGTGCTGCTTGTTTCTCCGTTCTTTCACGGATGCGATTCGATCTTCTTGTTGTGACAGGATGCGGGACTTCAGAGATTCTTTCTCCTTTTCGGTTGTTGGTTTCCAAGGTTTCGATTTCCTTGGTGGTTCCGGGGGAGGTGATTCTGTGTTTTCCTGATTAGCTTCGTGTTTATTACTTTGTTCGAGGTGACGTCCAGGAGTGGGCCTCGTAAGCCCGGCCCCCAGTCTACTTGCGTCTGTTTCAAGGTCTTCTTCGAGTGCTGACGATTCGGGTTCTTGATCAGGCCTGTCTTCTGATTCATATCCGTCGTCTGTTGGTGCAGGTGCCGCTTCTGGTTTCAGGATAGGGGTGTAGTCGAGTTCTACGGAGACTTCCCCTGATTCAGGAGGGGGGAATGTGACATCTCGACTTACAACTAACCTATTTTGTGATCCTATCCAGGTGCGGTAATGTTTGGTACTGTCTGAGTATCCGACGATGATTCCTTCGTGTGCTCGGGGTGCTAGTTTGCTTCCTGCTGGCCTAGAGTTTTCTGGGATGTGAACATAGCATTTCTTTCCGAATGGTTGAAGGTGTTGGATACTCGGCTTTGAACCTTTCAGGGCTTCGAAGGGGGTCTTTCCCTTTAGCGTAC